AATAGGTATTAATAGATGGACTTATGTTTCCAACTGAAATAGAGAAATAAGAACCTATCTCTTGAAAACAAACAAAGGGCACATATCAACTGCAGACACTAGACACTGGGAATGAAGAGACACCTGGCAACATTCCCTAGGAGAAGGTAAACAAACAAAGTAAGCCATGTGATTATCCCAGCTTACTGCCTTGAGAGAGTTTCCAAGCAGTCAGTGGCTCAAATTTGAAGAATTTCTTTAATTGAGGATACAGAGCTGAGATTCTAAGGATACAAAAGAAGGTAGGGATCATGGAACAGACTATTAGAGAAAAGAAAACTGTACACAGAAAGAACTCTAGAGATCTTCAGGAGGAAACTAAAGCCAGCACATGGGCATGTCTGGGAATAGTGCCTTTTCTAATCATCCAGACTGGAAAACCTCCTAAACCATAAGGATTAGGGAGATAACAAAGGATATTGTCTCAGTGTTGGGAAATAATTAGCCACAGATTGAACATTGCTATAGTCGCATTCAACAAAATGTTAAAGCAAAATGTGACAGGATCAAACAGCTTTCAAGTAACTTAAATGAATGCCAGAAAAACTCAAGAAAAGTTATAGGCATACCAAAAAATACAAAAATATCTGGCTTCCAACATGGTAAAATGTACAGTGTCTGGCATTCAATAAAAGATAACCAGCATGTCAGAAAAGCTAGACAATATGGCCCAAAATGTAGGAAAAAGGGTCTACTAATTGAAAACAAACAAGAACTGATAGAAATGTTAGAATAGCAGACAAGGACATTGAAATAGTAATTATAATTGTATTCTATAAGGTCAAGAATTTAAATAAAGTCATGAAAAATATAAAAAAGACCCATTTATAAATTCTAGATATAAATTGTAGTAAAAACTACAATATATGAGATGATATACTGAATGAAATTTAAGAAAGATCAGGTATTACAGAAGAATAGTGAAGATATAACTATAGAAACTATACAAAACAAAACTGAAAGAATAAATAACTTTAAAATTAATCAAGCAACAATAAGCTGTGGAATAACTTTAAGCTGCTGCATATACATAAAACATACATGAAGGAGATGGGGAGGAGAGTACAGAACAAGTATTTTATGAAATAATGGAAAATTCACTTCCAAATTTGATGACAACTATAAATTCATAGATACCGGAAATGCAAGAAATATCAAGTACAGGAATCATGAAGAAAACTAAATCAAGATGTAGTCTAACCAAATTGCTCATAGTGGAAGAAAGACAAAAAATTTTTAAACGTGTCCAGAAAAACATAAGACAAATGATTTACAGGTGAATAAAGAGTAGGATAATAGCAGATTTCATGGCAGAAAAAAATATGCAAAAAGACAGTACAGCAATGTCTTTAAAGTGCCAAATGAAAAAAGAATCTGTAAACCTAGAATTCAATGTCTAGTAAAAATGCCTTTCAAAATAAAGAACACCGTTATTTGAATTATAATAGCTTCATAAATTTATCATCAGCACACTTGTGCTACAAGGTATATTAAAGGAAATTATCTGGATAAAAGAAAAATGATACCAAATGAAAATATGGATCGACACAAAGGAATGAAGAATACAAGATATGGTGGCCCCTCAGTAAGTATATAAAGTTTTTATCTTTTTATTTGAGTATATTTAAAATATAATTGATTGTTTATAAATAAAGTAGATACAATTTAGGGCTTATAAAGTAAAAGTTAAATGTTCAGGAGGGAAAAAATGTTAGTGTACTATTTTTAAAATTTTACCTGAATTTAATCTACTATCACTTAGAGTTAGATTATAATAGTTACATAAATACAAATCTGGAAATATCAACTAAAATAGAAAAAAAGAAAGAGACAGTAAGCCAATAATAATGGAAAAAAACAGACCTTAAAAATATTTAATAAATCTAAAAGAAGGGATAAAAAGAAGAAAGGAACAAAAAACACAAACTTACTAGGACTAATAAAAAAAGAGCAAAATTTAAACCTAACCATTTAAATAAATCACATTAAATATAAATAGTGTCTATACACCAATTTAAAGAGGAGAGAAACATATTGGTAAAAACAGCAAGACCCTACTATATGCTGCCGAAAGGAAATATATTTCAAATAGACCAGGAACAAACATATTAAAAGAATATTAGAGGCTGGGAGTAGTGGCATGTGCCTATAAACCTATCACTTTATGCCAGTGTTTAGACCTTCCATAGGTGAGGGACTCTTTGAATGGATTTTCTTTGCTTATATACAAGAGGAAGAGGCACCTGATGTCTTCTATCCTTTTGAAACAAAAGATAAAAACATTTGCTCCTTGGAAATGAGATGGAAATGATTATGGATTCTCACTCCAATCATCTGGAATAAAAATACATCTTTCCAGGGGCTAAATAAGACAGTGTCTCTGTCTTTTAAGACCTAGAAATATCTCCAAGGTTCTCTCATAAAATTTAAAAAGGTGCCTTCAAAGTTAGATAAATCTCTCTGGAGCTCTCACTACAGATACAGCTGTAAATTAATTTCCCAGGGTTTCCCTTTGCCCAGGATCCCAAGTGTTCAGCAAAAGTTATTCAGAATTCCTCATAATATATTCATAATTTTGAAGAAACACAAAAATATGTCCTCTATATCCCACAGTACACACTATAGAATACTACTCAGAAATAAAAAGGGATGATTTCTCAAAGTAATTATGCTGAGTGAAAGAAGGTAGACAAAAAGAACACAAACTACATAATTTTATTTATACACCATTTTATAAAATTCAAATAATCTATAGTGACAGAGAGAGCGGGTAGGCTGAAGAGAGTTATTACAAAAGTTTGCAAGGAAATTTGTCTTTGATGTGTATGTTCATTATCTTGATTATAGTGACAGTTTCATGGGTGCATGCATGAAACCATCTATCTATATTAACGTATATTAATATATATCTCTGTGTGACAAAACCTATCAATTTTATACTTTAGATGTGTACAGGTTATTATATATTATGTTAATTAAAATACAAATGAGATAAAGACAGACACACAGGTTGCTGTTGACACAGAGATCAAAATTAATTTTTTTAAATGTGATCTGTGAAACTAAAGGCAGAGAATATTGCATACCACTGCTCTAGTTCAGCCTGAAGATTCTCTGATAGATATTATCCCATTTGAAATGACAATAGGAGTTTAAAGGAGGCCTCATTCCCCAGTACATCTTAGGTGCTTATTAAATGTTCCCTACTACCTCCCATTATTTCTGGTTTCTATTAATATTATGTCACATACAAGAGTTATTATACATCATTAATTATAATGGAACTATTTAAGGAAAGAATGTTGTCATTTTTAGGACACCCTAATTGACATCAAGATTCCCAGAATAAGACATGGCAAGGATGGAGTATAATTTAATTTTATAAAATATTTTAAAAAGAAAGATAATACCTGAATGTTAGGTTATATTTGAGAAAATGGAGACATTTTTTCAGAAAGCATATATGCTGCTATCTTTAAGACTATATATCCATTCTTAGAAGAATACTTAGAAATGGCACTCATAGCTAGGAGCATTAATCTGCCACTCACTTTTTAAAAATCACCCAGATGTCTTTAATTTCCAATCTCCTTTATAAATCCCTCCTCATGCTCTTTCCTTGGGCCTAACTTTTCAATGTCTTTAACATCATCTCTCAGGATGAGTTGTATGTGATATACAGTTTAATTCTATTCAAATTTCCATCTGCTTCTCTAGTTCCAATTAGTATGTTTAGCATTAAGACAAGCAGGAAAACATGTGTCCCTTCTTCTCACATATTTTATGAATAATGGCATTTTGGTTGATCACTTGTCTGACTTGGCTGCCAACATCCAAAGCTCTCCAAATGTCATGACTCATGCTCAGATGCCATCATATTTCAAATGTGTCCAGCTTCCTACAAATACAATGACCTCTTTCTCCTCCTGCTAAAATTTTGTGTTTTATATCTTATTTGTTTTTTATTTTTTCACAGATCTACATCTACCATAATCTAGACAGCTCACCTTCAGGCTACTTTCCAGTTTCCATATTACTTTGCATTACTGTCCTGGCCATCTTATAATGTTCTACATTATTATGTCATTTTGTAGCAAAATGTTATCCCTGCAGGCTTAACAATAAGTTTTTCTAACATTCCCTGTTATGTTTTTGTTTCTTTCTAGCATAATTCACAAGTTAATTTTCAATGAGGTAAAAATAACACTGCCTTATCATCAGAATCTACATAATTGTAAATATTTGCCATTTTGTATAATACAAAATGAGTATTGTATTTGAGTAATACATGCAGCAATAAAATTGAGTAAAGTGGGTTCTAATTTTAGGAACACAGTGAGAATGACAAGACGATTCCTGGATGCTTCATCCCTGAAAAAATCAGAAACCACTATTCTCTGTAGACTTGCTTGTGCTTTGATTCTTTAAATCATAGACAAATGGAAATTTCAGTACCCAGTATAATTTACCTATCTCATTATGCCACTTCAGTATGAGAAACAATACTCAGATATTAACTACCATCTTCTTGACTCTCTGCTGAGGTAAGATTCTACAACGGCCCTACCTCTTCTTGACCTCAAGTTGACAGGACATTGACTTGGTTGGTAGTAGAGGATGAAACTACATTTTGTGTGCAGCTCTCAGTAAAGCAGCCTGGTTTTATTATGTGAAGTGTCCAGAAAAAAAAAAAAAGAGTTATTCTGGTACCTTTTTAATATAACCTCGGAGCAGAAATTGCGGGGCTGTTATTGGAATCCTGATATAATTTTGCTGACATCTTCAGGACTGAAGACTAACTTTTTTCCTACTCCCTAATAAAAATGTGAAATACGTACTAAGTGTAATTATAAAGAAAAGTTTTTCTTTTTTAAATTTTTAAACAGAATCTGTTTTCCCTATCTTCTAAAAAGGTATATATTAATTTTCTATTGTTGCATAACAAGTTACCACAAATTTAGTAACTTAAAGAAGCAGTCATTTATTATCTTACAATTTTATGGGTCAGAAGTCTTGATGGTCCAAGTGAGGTGCTTTGCTGTCAACCAGGCACTACTCTCAGCTTCTAGAGATTACTCATATTTTTTTGCCACACACCCAATCCTTCTTCAAGCCATAGTCAATCCTTCTCACTCTTCTCTGTTTGTCTGATTTCCTTTTATGCCACCAGCCAGAGAAAACAGACTGCTTTTAAAAGGTGTTATGTGATTAGATTAGGTCCACCTGGATAATCTCCATTTTTATCAGTGCAAATCCAATTGAATGGTAACCTTAGTTACATCTGAAAAATTCCATTTTCCATGTTATATAGTAGGATATTTCATCTTTTTCAGTCCTGAGGATTAGTGTGGGAAATCCTGAGGAGGGCATTTTAGAATTCTTCTTAGCACAAAAGGGAAGGAGGATCTTCCTGAAACAACAATAGAGCAATAAACTTATCAGGTTTTAGTGCCATCAATTTCCCCAGGGAATGATAAGTGGTTATCAAGTTATACAGGTGGCAGGTATCACACCCGGCAACAGATGACAAGTCTTTCATATTTTGGCAACTGATGTAGTTGCAGTAGTGAAAAAGAAAGACAGAATTGCATGATGTTGATCAGATTCTATATTATACAAAAATAAAACCACAATGCATATTGAAAATGTCACTAAGGATTAATTATGAATGATCATTTTACAAGAACTCTTGATCATTTGTGCTCTGCATCAATAAATGCAGTTCTTTGGAAAACACTATTGATAGCTTATCATTTTGCTGATTTTTTCTTATGATTATAACTTCTTTTTAACCTACTTCTGTTTGATGACCCAGGCACCAGGGAAAGACAAAGTTTCTGATTTTAAACTGGTTATTTGGTAAATTCTCATATTTTTTTGTACTTATGATGAGTCAGTTTGCAAAAAGTTTTTAAATCATAGTCAATTTTTTAAAAAAATGGTAATATTATATATATTAGTTCAAATATTATAGAAACCATAAGACTGAACAACTAATTTAATCATTAAATATACACATGATGAATATCTAAGTTATGTTGGGCTCTATGTTTATGAATATGCTGTATAATATACTATATGCCGGAATTTTATTTGTAAAACCCAAATATTTTTGAATTTGCAAAACATACACTTTTTAAAACAAGTATTTATGTTGTAGCTTACACCTGAGCACAGTAGCCATTTCAAGTAAAATAATTTTTGAAAAATTTACAATACTACTATACCAAATGCTTTTTCTCTACCTTTTACTAAACATGATTCATTTTTGATGATGGAGTAACTCGGGCCAAATTCACCTTCTTACCCAAAACAATGAGAAATGAACAACATATATTAAATGATGATTTTCAAGACATTAGATATCAATCAATAAAGAACAGTGACCTCCAAGAGTTGGAGAATGAATTGGAAAAGACCCAACTATTTTTCTTTTCATTTATGAGCTCTTTCCCCAGGCTGTATTATTTTTCTACTAAAAATGTGGGTTAGAGGGTTTTTGTTGTGTTTGTTTGTTTGGCATTATTTGTGGTTTTGGTTTTGATTCTTGATTTATTGCATTTTGACACATGAATCTTACAATGATTTCCCAGATAGTTCACAAAATTAATGCTTTAAGTTCCTCTTCTATGAGAAGAAGAAATAGAACATTAAATTAGAGTACTTAACTTTTATTTATAAATATTTTTCTCAAATGTCACTTGGGATACATAGGCATGTACCAATTGATTAACATCTAACAATAGTTAATATATTTGTAGTTTGTTTTATTACTTACCATAAACTTTTCTTGTTTATTAATTTAACAGATGTTATCACAATAATGAAAGGACATGCAAACATAAAAGTAATGGTTGTTAAACTTAAAAATTGCGGAAAAACTAAGGAATTAGCCAGTAACTATATTTAATGTTTAATTCATAGCAAAAAAAATAGGTGCAGAATGTCTAGCTAAGAGAATTAAAAGTATATATAAAGGGTATGGAGGGCTTGAGAACATATACAGACACACATCCATAGAGAGATGAAATTTACATGTATATAACATTGTTCTTTGGACTAACCTATAAATATAATTTATAAATTGCATTACTTTGGAATTCAGTTAAGCAAATTTCGTTAACTAATAACTATACTAAAAATAGTACAAAATATTAATACTAAGACTAAAATTGATATTTTTAGAAATCCTTAAATATGTATTGATTACTTCATGACTAAACAATTCTCAATGGACAGCATAAACTTCAATTAAAAAAAACTCAAAAGCATTCAAAACGTTTATCATCTCTTAATGAAATTTTAATCATGTAAAAACACCTTTTTTGCATGATAAAATAAAGATAAATAAAATCCCAAGGGTGAATAGTAAAATTTTGTTTTGGCTAAAATATAATATTTTACTACTCTGAATCATCCTTTACCATAATTAAATTCTCCCTCTTTAGTGTTTTTTTCACATCAGGAATTAAAATATAAAAAAATATCAGGACAAGTAAATAAATCAGACTTTTGCCATATTTAAATCTTGAGTAATATATCATAGTTTTGGATGTTAGTAAATCAACTTGAGTTATATGGACATGTACATTTAGTGAACTGAAATATGCTCACTTTCTATAAAGAATGAGATTGCTAAACAAATTAATCAAAAATCTTTTCCCAATCATCACAAGACCTCCAAAGGTATTTTTAGGTCTAAAATCACAAGTCCAGTTTAATCCTCTTAAGAAAATTAAATTTTATGGACTTAAAAATGCTTAGCACTTAACACAGTAGATGCAACTATTTATAGACGTATTTTATCTGTTGATTTAAAAAATCTAGTGAGATGTATACCTAAAAACATGTTAACAATTGATGTTAGTGATGTTCCTTAAAAGCAATAAAAATGCATTTGGTACTTTAAAGCAACAAAAGTGAATTTGTTTTAAAAGGTTGTCTAATTTATACTTTTTATTTTATTAAAAAAGTACCCTTACCCTCAACAAAATATTCTATAGTATTATAATAACAAGTTAAATATTAAATATTTAATATCATTCACAAAAACTGTAGTCTTTTTTTTTTTTCTGATATGACAAGCTGCAGAGTTTGTCAGCAACTTGGTTTTTACTTAAAATTTTTTTTCCAAATTTGGTTCCCCACTTGGCTATACTCTTCCTGTCAAGAATGAAGGTTATAGCCAGAGGGAATAAAGTGTTTGGATGTGATTTTGAAAAATGAGTGCCAGATTTTGACATTACAAACTTAAGAAGGAAGAATAACTATAATTATAAAGTGAGACGATGAATATTGATAATGAGGTTATATAACTGTACTTATATCTATATGGAAATATTTCTCAAAGAGCATAATTTCGCAAAAGCTTATTGCCTAAGAAATGTTTTTGATCTCCATTATTTCTGTCAACTTTAAACAATTATTTTCATAATAATTTATTTATATATAATATGATATTTCTTGTAGAAATAGTATAATTATCTTTATTTACATTTACTCTGGATTTGTTTTAATTACTATAGAATATTATAATCATTGCTTTATAGGCTCCAAAATCATAATCACTTGTTTACAATGTACTTATTTTATTCACTATTTTTTGGTGTTACTCATCATCACATAAGTTGTTTAAACCTACTTAGAAAAATATATCCCTATGTAGTACTAACTCCATAACCTCCCAGTGCCACACTCTTTCATCCCAAAGGTCCTAGGGTTTCTCTCCATTTTGACATTGTTGGAGTTGGACAATGTTGGAGCCTTTGCAAATATCCAGCTGTTTCATAAATATTTAGTCTTCTTGAAGACTAAATATTTAGGGCATGCTATTCCCACTTGTGGTCCAAGTGCATCTCAGTCACTATAAAGGTCAGGTAGTATAATTCAGAATGAATATAGATACTTAATATACCTCTGAGAGGCCCTGAGATTGATCCTGCTTAAATACTTAGAGGTTTCTGTATATAGTTATAGTAAGTGCTGAATGAAATTATGAATGAATAATCAAATAAAAATATTAATGAGAGAACTTACTAATTTATTTTAAGGCTGACATTCAGAATGCTCAGTAGCTTTCTATGCAAACAAAAAATCAGTTTTTATTCAATTGTGGAGGTCTATTCCAAAATAGGAATACTACTTTCTCTAAACTCTTATTTCAAGTTTACTCCTTCCTAAAGCATAACACATATTAGCATCCCCCTTTTCCATTTTATTTAATAAAGTAAAAAATCCTTATTATGTATGGTTGGTAAAACTTCTGCACTTGAAATTATGCAGAAGTTACAGGTTCCAGATTGAGATACAAAGGCTGCAAATGTAAGACATTCAAGATATTTTACTCATTTGGCCCCAACATATCTTCCTACCATATGGTCCAAAGTCAACTATTTTCCTTCCCTAAATTTTTTCTATGCCTGTTTTGAACATTCTCTTTCTTATATTACTTCTTTAGCCTTACCTTCTCATCTCTCAGCAAAGGATAATAATTTCTTCCTCAATGGCTTATTGTACAAATTAAATGAGTACATCTGTACACTAAGTATAGTGTTAGAGACTAAGGAAATGTTCCATGATGGATAAAATAATAGCTGTTAAAATTATTATTGTTACTGTGCTTTTTGTTGCTACTAAAGCACAACTAATGGAAGTAGAATGCACTATATTGGGGAGTTACATGCTTGTAGCCCTGGCTTGGGCAGGGCAAATGCATTACATGTAACCAAAACATTTGTACCCCCATAATATCCTGAATAAATTTTTTAAAAAGCTTAAAAAAATAGAATAAAATAAAATAAAAAGGATTCATAAAGCCTTCCTAGCTTCTAGTCAGAACTAATTCTTTCCTTCTCTGCTCCCTTTGAAAACTCTAATTTTAGTGCAGGTATTTTGTGCCTCCATTCATGACTATTTGTACATGTCATATAATACATTTCTTTCTAGAATACAAGTACCTTGAGAAGAGAAGGCATGTTTAATTATACTTTTCCTCATTACTTCCTTATAACTTCTACCACAGAATTTTAAGCATTCTAGAGGCTCATAAATGATTATCAAAGCACCTATTTCCTGCTTTAAAAAAAATATCCACTGATTTCTAAGTGGCATGAGAAGTCTCCTTCCTTTAGCTACAAATCTGATCAATGCTCATGAGGCGTCTAAAGAGGTTGTGCTGCTGCTAACTATAGCTGCCAAGTCACAGCAGAAGAGGTAAACAGGAAAAGGTCTGAGACCTGTGCTTTTCAAAAATGATCCTGATTTATTTTTAGGGTATGAGCTGGAGAAGAAGGATATTCTCAAAGGAAGAAATATGTAGGTAACCATTATAAAAAAGTTTATAACTGAAAGTAAGATTTTCACTTCATTAAAGGAATGTACTCATTGTTTTGCCTAACTTCAATCAATGAAGATTTTCAAAGTACTCTTTCCAAATCAAATGCCTCATAATTTCATAGGAATTGAACTAGCACTTGTAAATGTTGAGAGATAAAATTTATATAAAATAAATTCATTAACAAATGAATCATGATTTGCTTCACCCATTTTTGTTCAAATTCATGGATACTTTTCTACATTTTGTAAAGAATAAGAGCACACAACAACCATTAATTCATTCAAAAATAGTTATTGAGCACTGGACTATCCTGTCTTAAAGGAAGTGGTGATCTAATAACTATGAATCAAGATTATATGTATATGTTTCAGAAAAAAGTGTTTGACCTGTATAATTTTTAGAAAGAGTACAGATCACTACATTAACTCTAAAATTGGAAAACTGATTTTAAAAATCACCAGAATAGAATTCAAATAATATTATCAAGGCCCTTTTGCAACTTATTTTATTATTATTATTAATATTGTTATTACTATGATGATTATTATTATTTTGCTTAGGCTGCTTTTGTTGAAAATATTGTGACAAGCCCAAGATTATACTAATATATAAGTCTTTAGTCTTCTGCACAATCTTTCTTTTAACCAAATTGTCCTCATAGCATGGATACCATAAACCATTCTGAAAAATAACTAGATACAATTGAACTCTTCAATGGGAATGATGGACTTTAAATTTCAGTCTGACTCAAGCAGTAGTTGTCTTATAGGAAGATCTAAGGATTGTATTGCAAGTCTTAAGAATAACAAGGCCCTTTAAATATATCCCCTGTGAAGATTAGGGGTAGGTTATGCCTGTTTTGTATGCTAGAGATCAAACGCAAGTGTTTCTTCAAGCAAATTAACTAATCAATCCATTTCCCTCCAGAATTTTCTCCTGAGTTGAAAGTGAAATGTTATTCCCTGTAATTTTCCAGATAGTTATATATCTAACTTGATAATTGACAAATTACACAATTTTCTTCCAGGTTTCAGAAATCATTAAGTGGATAAGAGAAAATAACTGGGAGCGATAGGATCCTCTTGAGTCTTGACCCATGTAAGTCAGGTATACCAACACATCAGGCACCCAATAAACCCAGCTGATTGACTAGGATGAGAATGGTGCCAGAACATTGAACTCAATCAGAATGGGTTTCTCAAATATTAGAATTGCTCCCTCCTGGAAAACTGTCATTAAAGATGAAATGTAAAAGGGGACATTCCAACCGATACCATAGAAATACAAACAATTGTATACCCCCAGAAACGGATAAACTAGAAGATATCGATAAATTTCTAGAAACATACAACCCATCATGACTGAATCCAGTAAAAATAGAGAAACTGAAAAGACCTATAACAAGCAAGGAAATGAATCCACAAGCAATCACTTCCCAACAAAGAGAAGCCCAGGATCAGATGGCTTTACTGAAAAATTCTACCAAACATTTAAAGATGAATTAATATCAATACTGATTCTTCTCAAAGTATATCAAAATATTTAAAAGCAGGGAACATTTCCAAACTCACCTAATGAGACAAACACTACCTGTGAAGCAGGTTCACTGTGCACTGGTTACCAACTTGTCTGAATCCAGTAAATCAGAACATATTCATATACAACAAGGTATGAGAAGCAGATTTGTTACTTAGAGAAAGGCAGCAAGGAAAAACAGAAGCTTAAGGTTCATCATGAGCTGGTCCCTGCAGGCTCAGGATGGCTGCGCTGCATGGAAGGAGTATCTACTGCACCTGCCTCACTTAAACTGCAGCTGAGGAACTTCAGGGTCTTGGTCACAGATTTTTTTTAGCTCAAGGAGAAACATAACACACTAGGCTAATGCACTGAAAGACACCCTCATTCCAGGGGGCAGCGATAATCAAAAGAGAGCCCAGGCTGTTCTCACTAGTCCCTCCCTATCACAGGGTGTGGCATTTCCAGCACATTTTACATTTATTCTTGTAAAAAACAACCAAAAAGAATAGAACAAGAGTTGGTTCAAGGCCAACAAAGAACTGTGCTGCATTAGTCTCATATCAAAGCCAGATAAGAACGCTACAAGAAAAGAAAACTACAGACCAATATACCTGGTGAGCATAGATGTAAAAATCCTCAACGAAATACTAGCAAACAAAATTCAATGAGACTAATCTCATTTGATTATGGTGTGTAATTCTTTTAATGTGCTCTTGAATTTGGTTTGATAGTATTTTGTTTATAGTACTGGGAGTCATAACCAGAACAATTAGGCAAGAGAAAGAAATAAAAGAAGCTTAAAAAAATTTGATCTCATGGTGGAAATGAATAGAAAACCTGAGTTTTGGAAGGGTAAGGGAAGGGGGAGGTTAAAGAGGGGTTAGTTAATGAGTACAAAAATACAATTAGATAGAAGGAATAAGATCCAGGGTTCAATAGCACAATAGGGCAATTATAATTAACTAATTTATTATATATTTTAAAATAACTAAAAGAGTAGATTTGGAATGTTTCCAACACAATGAAATGATAAACGTTTGTGGTGATGGATATCCCAATTACACAGGTTTGATCGTTACACATTTTTAACTAAATTATTTGGGGGCTTTGGCTATTGAATTGTTTGAGTTCTTATTATGCTTTAGATATTAACTCCTTATGCATGATTTACATATTATGCTTTAGATATTAACTCCTTATGCATGATTTACAAATATTTTCTCCCATTTTGTAAGATACCTCCTCTCTCTGTTGATTGTTTTCTTTGCATGGAGAAGCATTTCAATTTGATACGATTCCACTTTCTAAGTTTTCTATTGTAACCTATGTTTTGGTGGCATATCCAAAAAACACTGCCAAGACCAATGTCAAGAGTTTTTCTATATATTTCATCACAGTTTCTAAGTACAATTTAAATTTTTTTTAACATTTCAGGTCTTACATTTAAGTAATCCATTTACTTTAATCCATTTGGAGTAAATTTTTGTGAATAGTGTAACATGATGTTTTGAGAACTATAACTTTGTATTGGAAATCAGAGCATGGATATCTCCCAGCTTTGTTTTTTCTCTGGATTGTTTTGGCTATTAGGGATCTTTTTTAGTTCCATAGAAATTTCAGGATTTTTTTTCTATTTCTGTGAAAAATGCCAAAATGAAATTTTGATGGTGATTGCATTAAATCTATAGAACGCTTTGGGTAGTATGAACATTTTTAACAATATTAATTCTTCCAATCTATGAACATGAGATATTTTTCCATGTATTTGTGTCTTCTTCCATTTCTTTCATAAATGTCCAAGTTTTCAGTGCATAAGTCTTTCACCTCCTTGGTTATATTTATTACTAAATATTATACTGTATTTGAGGCTTTTGTAAACGAGAGTGTTTTCTTAATTTCTTTTCAAATAGTTCATTGTTAGCACAGAGAAAAGAGACTTTTTATGTTGATTTGTATTCTGCAACTTTACTGAATTAGTTTGTTATTTCTAACAGTTTGGTCATATTTAGGGTTTTCTCTATTTAAGAACATGTAATCTGTAAACAGAGACAATTTTACTTTTTCTTTCTGATTTGGATACTTTTTATTTATTTCCCATGACTAATTTCTGTAGCTACGGTTTCCTGTGCTATGATGAATAGAATAGAATTGGTGAGAGCAGACACCCTTGTCTTCTTCTTGATCTTAAAAGAAAAGCTTTCAGCTTTTCACTTTTGAGTATATCGTTAGTGTGGGCTTGTCATATATAGTATTTATTATGTTGAGATACAATCCTTCTATACCTAATTTGTTGAGAATTTTTATCAAAAGATATTGAATTTTGTCAAATGATTTCTCTCCATGACTGAGATGATTATATGATTTTATCCTTTATTCTGTTAATGTATTACAGTTATTGATTTGCCTACATTGAACCATCTTTGCATCCCAGGGATAAATCTCACTTGATTGTGGGCATGATCCTTTTAATATGCAGTTAAATTTGGTTTGTAGGTGTTCTAGTGAATATTTTTACATCTCTGTTCAGCAGGGATATTGGTCTGTGACTTTTTTTCTTATAGTGTCCTTATCTGACTTTGATAAGCGGGTATTGCTGGTCTCCTAAAATTAATTTGGAAATGTTCCCTCCTCTTCTCCTCTTCAGTTTTCTGGAATCATTTGAAAAAGATCGACATTAATTCTTCTTTAAATATTTGCTAGAATTCTCCCATGAACCCATCTGGTTTTGTTTTTTTCTTTGTTGGGAGGATTCAATCCCCTTACTCATTATTGGTCTGTTCAGATTTCCTATTTCTTCAAGATTCTGTCTTAATCAGTTGTGTGTTTCTAGGAATTTATCCATTTCTTCTAGGTTATCGAACTTGCTGGCATACAACTATTCATAGTAGTCTCTTATGATCTTTTGTATTCCTGTGTTATCACTTATAATATCTCTTCTTTTATTTGTAACTTTATTGATTTGAGTCCTCCCTCTTTTCTTAATGGTGAGTCAGGTTTATAAATTTTGCTTATCTTTTCACAAAATCAATTTTTAATTTCATTGATCTTTTCTTATTTTTCTAGTCTCTATTTATTCTGTTTTAATCTTTATTATTGCCTTCCTTCTGCTGATTTTGGGCTTAGTTTATTTTTTTAATTTCTTGATGTATGAATTTAAGTTGTTTATTTGAGATATTTATTTTTATTAACTAATTATTTAATTAATTATAATTGATAAATAAAAATTATATAAATTTATGATGTATCACATGATGTTCTTGATATATGTACACATTGAGGAGTGGCCAAATTAAGCTAATTAGCATGCCTATTATCTCACATATTTATCTGTGGTAAGAACATTTACAATATACCATATCAGCAATTTTCAATTATATAATACCTTGTTATGATGTGTCTCTACCATGCTTTACAATAGATCTCTTTAACTATTTTTACTAATTGAAATTTTATATTCTTTGTCTAATATCTCAATCTTCTCCCCACTCCGTCAGCCCCTGGTAACCTCCATTCTACTTTCTGTTTTTACAAATTGGACTTATCTAAGTTCCACATGTAAGTGAGATTATATGGCATCTGTCTTTCTATTCCTAGCTTATTTCAACAACATATTGTCCTCCAGGGCCATCCATGTTGTCATAAATGTCAATATTTCTTTCTTTTTTAAGGATAAAGAACATTTTATTGTGTGTATATACCACATTTTCTTTATCCATTCATCCATTGCTGTCTAGGTTGATTCTATATCTTGGCTATTTTAAATAATGCTGCAATAAATGTGTAAATGCAGTTACCTCTTCAACATATTGATTACATTTCCTTTGGATACATACCCAGTGATGGGACTGCTGGATCATATGGTAGTTCTATTTTTAGTATTTCGGAACCTCCATGCTGTTTTCCTTAGTAGCTGTACTAATTTACATTCTCACCAACAATGCAAAAGGGTTCACTTTTATCCACATCTTCACTAACATTTATCTTTTGTTTTTTGGATTGTAGCCATGCTAACAGGCATGTGATAATATCTTACAGTGATTTTAACTTGGATTTCCCTGATGATTAGTGAGGTGGAGCAGCTTTTCATGTACCTGTTGGTTATTTGTATATCTTCTTTGAAAAATCTCTACTCGAGTCCTTCACCTATGTTTTAGTTGGATTATTTGTGGGTTCTTTTTTTCTATCGAGTTAAGTTCCTTACTGACTTTAGATATTATACCCTTATGTGATATATACTTCGAAAATATTTGCTGTGCAGAAGGCTTTTAGTCTAATATAATCCCATTTGTCTATGTTTGTTTTTGTTTCCTGTGTTTTTGGTGCAATATTCAAAAAATCATTCCCAAGATCAAAGTTATGGTGCTGTTTTCCAATGTTTTCTTCTAGTGATTTTATAGTTTCTGTTTTACATTTAAGTATTTAATTCATTTTCGGGGTTTTGTTGTATATGGTGTAAGACAGGGTCCAACTGCATTCTTTTACATTTGGATATCTAGTTATTCCCACACCATTTATTAAAGAGAATGTTCTCCCATTGTATATTCTTGGTATCTTTGTTGAAAATCGATTTACTGTACATGTGTGGATCACTTTCTTGGTTTTTTATTCTATTCCATTGGTCTATGTGCCTGGGCCTTTAACATTATTAAAGATCCTCCCTGGAATTAAGAAACCAAGGTTTAAGAACACTATTGAGCCAACAGGAAACATACAGAAAAATATTACTTTAAGATGTTTGTTTTTTCTTCTCAATTCATAGCTACAAATAATAAGCATAATAAAATAAGTTCTAAAAGGCACCTAAAATTGGAATGTGTAACAAAAATATATACTAAATGTTATCATAATTATATTGTTATAGTTACATTGTAGATAATTATACATACATACATACACAAAGCACAGGCAATAAGTAATCCCATTTCCATTGTATATGAAAAAATAGAAATATCTGACAAAGAAGTAAAATTAAAATTTATCAAATTCTCTACAAATGTAATTTCTAAAAGTTGCTATAAAGGAAATATTATGTGAACTTAAAATTAGGATACGTGCACTATGTACTTTTTGCAAAATAATTTCTGGAAGTCATTTATAATGCAATAAAAATCAACCAATAAAATAAAGTTATTCTATTTCCCCTAAATGATCTTCTGAAAAATATAATGAAATGCTTAAAATGAGAGTTTTAAAAGTTCTTGTTTCAGTATGGCTATAGAAATATTACAAACACTTTGCTTTTATACTTAATTTGCCATAAGCTGTACAGAAAACGTTCTCTATTCCTGATTGCTATTTTATATTATTTGAGAATTAAGAGAATTTTTGCAAAGTCATAATAAGCTAGAAGTGTGAAATGTATTAAATTATGTGCTTATCATATG